CAAACAAATAAGACAGAGCATGGGCAGTCTTATACATTACCTGTTGTGGAAAATCCCCATTCTCCATTTGGGAATTTATCAAACATCTAGCTCCTCTGTGCAGTGGTGTTGGATCTCTCTCAGCCTGCTCAAATAATTTTAACAAAAACAATGTAACCTTCAAAATATGTCCAAACATGTGTTGCTCCAACAAAGCTGCAACCATTATATATGGCCCCATCTCACCATTCAGACAATATTGCACTACAAATTTTTATGTTTTACCTGCCCAGCAGCCATTAAAGCCAACATAGCCCAGCCAGTATTTACCACATGTGGCCTGTTGCCCTCAATATTTGAGTAAACCTGTACAGAAGAGCATTTGAAAATTATTAACAGTATATTCAACCATAATGAGTCCAACATGTGTCCAAAGCTTTCAAAGAAAATGATTGATGTTGCTGTCAGCTGTTACGTAGGATGGAAGATGATCAATGGCTCAAGATGCTGATGGTCAGACCACAACCGGAAGGGAAAAGGAAAAGCCTTTTAAGCATTCTTGTTTTTTATTCCACGAATGATCATATGGCACAAGAACCCAGAGTAGTTCCTAAAAGAAGCTCACCAGCCACAATCTAGATTTTAAAACAAAATACAAAACCAATCTTCCTGAATTTGATTTAAGTTCAGTCAAAACAACTTCAAGATTATAAAGTTCAGATGTCATATATACGCTTGAGTAGAAATTAAGAACTGTTACATGGTAAGTCAATAAACCCAACCTTGTTTTGACATGACAGATAACTTTCTCCCCAGCCACCTGAGGGAAGCTCTTTGGATAGCAGAAAATCGCAGGCTTTGCGAATGCTAGAACAGTTATTGAAGTTGTTTCCAGCAGCCACCAATCCTTTCACTCCAAACCACGTACCATAGGTGAAGCAAACTCCCCATGAGCCATACCTAGTTACATAGGATAAATAAATCAAATTGAGTTCAAAGCTGGGGAAAAAGATAGAGCTGAAACACCGGAATAGCTTAAGTTACAGACTAACACCAAAAGCATCCTATCAACATTGGTTTTAGAGGAAGGTAGGGCCAAACCATGAGCCATCTGAAGCTTGTATACTTTCAATGAACTTGGCTGCCTTCTGGATACATTGGTCTATTTCCTCTTGGCGATGCCCAGGATAAGAATAATTAAAAGATGTCAAAGCTTGAATTGCAGCTGAGGTACATTCCACATAACTGAATAGCCATTGTAATAGATATTAAAGTAAATATTTCAAGCAAACTAAAAGAGAAAAGGAAAAGCATGGAAAGGTATTAAACTCAAATACTGGTATCTTACGGATAGTCTATAACAATATCACCAAATGTTTCTGCAGGGTTGATCAGCTGTTAATGAAAAAATACGGTAAGCGAAAAACGAACACATACTTGTTGCAAGCGTACGCTAAAAGCAGGCATTGCAAGTAAAAATAAAACCTTCATTTATCAATGGATAATCTTTCTGATTTCTTCCAAATTTACATAGTTGATTCAAGATACTAATCCATGTTCATAATTTCAGATAAACAAGCTATCTACTTCTAGGCTATAAATCACAATCTGCAGGCCAATTCACTTAACATTTCATGGCCCAAAGGTGAGAAAAATGAAACTAACTCATCACGCCATAAGATATAAAATCCTAGACTGCATTCTCTGCAGTTGATCACACCAAAAATTTTCTGATTTATATATAGATTTCGTATCAAAGGCAGCGCAATTACACTTCTGCTGCATGTTGCTTTTTAGAACTTTCTCCTGGTTTTCCAAATTAAGAAGGGCTGTTCAAAGAGGCCACAGAAACTGCAAATTTAGCCACCCAAAATGCATGAACAAGGAGGTGATTCACTCCTTACAGACAATTGCACTAATGGGAGTTTGTGGAGAGAAAAAGGATCTTATCCAAAATTAAAATCAACATTAAGACACATGAAATGATAGCCAAACTCAAGTAATAAGCAACTAGAAACATGAATGAGGGAGCAATAACATTTGATAAAACATTGAAAATTAAAGCTTTCAATGCGTTTAATACTTCAATTTTAAAACCACTAAATGGAAAATTTTCAATGAAAAACTGTTCAAATCTTAAGTAGCTAAAAGCTACTTAATGCATTAAGTCAATTTTATTAAGGGAAAAATTGTTATTTAATTACATTAATCTTATATTATTTCCTTTTAACCATTTATTCTTTATTTTTTAACTATTATTAATGCAAAATAGTTAAAAAATCATATTACTCTTTTACAAAAAGATTCAATAAAAAATTTGCTCAACATTTAATTTTCGGTAGAACACCAAACCATTTTTATATAATAAATTCAGTACTTAAATTTTTCTGAACTAAAATTTATGTGCTTAACTTTTCAGTGTTCCATTTTTTCAATTTACTAAACAGTATCATAATATATTAACTCTTGCATTCTCAGTGATTGTTTACTTTGATAACCATGACATAATTCCAGACAGTTTTTTGGCTCCATAGCTAGTGCTTTGTGTTATCATTAGCTTGTGCCTAGACAAAAGACCTAATATCTTGTTTTTCAAAGTAAAGAAACAAAACTCCATAAAACAGGAAAAAAGGAAACAGAAATAATTTAATCGGTTCCAGGAGATATCCCTTCCAATCATGAATGATAAATGTAATGCTAATTATTGTGCAAGAAAGGAGATTATTCAAGATTGATGTTACACAGAGATAAAACGAAGTAAAAATATTGTTAAAAAATAGTGGCATAAACAGTAATAAGGGATACCTCCAACCAACTGTATGATCTAGTAAGCTCATATGTTGCAAAGCCACCTTCTGCATTCTGCAAAATAATGGACATGAAATCTAATCAAAATGTCAAGAGCCTCAAGCTCATGAATAACACGAATCCCAAGATATAACTAGGTGATGAAGGACAAATGGGAAGTTGGGGGGGCTTATCATGGTTAAACTTATAAATATGGTTATTTACGAATTTGCTATCTATTGAGGACTAGGGTTAAATGGTTGATAAAATTAACAGTCGCTTTTTCTCTTTGGGCTCAATATAGTTGCAGTATCCAAAATTTAAAGATATCAAACTGTTAAGCAACACAGCCTGTATAAATTAATACTACTTTCAATAGAAAGACACCTTCAATGAGAATTAAGCATGACACATCGCCTAAAAGTTAGATATTCTTTGAGGAACTGGTTAAGCGCTCAATTTTTGTAGAGAACTAAATTCTACAATGACAACAATGGCTATGCTCTAAAAATTGAATGTTGAATAGATTTTTTACAAAATACTTATGCAAAAGAGACGGATGATTTTATAAGGATTTTACATTTAATAAGAGTTAAAAAAGAAAGAAATTTCATTTAGTGCATCAAGTAGGTTTTTTAAATGCTTAACATTTTCAATTGAAACTATTCTATTAAATAGTCTTCAAAATGAGTAACCAAATGCATTGAATATAATAAATCATTCAACACCTTAATGATAATGTTGTGCATGCATGTGTCTATAGATGGTTACATAGGTTGATTAATTGTAACCAGAAAATGAGTTACCTGAAGTGAAAGAATAACATTTACAGCATCATATAACCACTTTGCTTCTACTGGTTCTCCAACAATTTCTGAGGGTATTTTTGATAATAAAAGAGCAGCCTGGAGGCAGGGAAAAAGTTAAGAAGGAAATATAAGAAGGAAAGTTCTCTGAATTCAGCATTATTTACTTTTAGTCCCTCTGCTGTGCAATCTGAAATGGGCCATCCATGATCTGCAGTTGAAAAGGGCCAAGCACCTTTGGAAATGTGACGGTACCAAAAATTAAGATCACCTGGGCAATCTTCTCGAACCTTCAAAAAATAATGAAGAAGCAGATAATGATGAATTATAGGGAGTTACAATATCGAGAAGTTCAAAATTGCTCCCAAATAAATAAACTCCAACATATTTCTGATACATAAACCACCTGTGAGTTCCTAATATACGTGTTTGCCTTCCTCAAAGTTGGGCCATATTCCTCAGTGAGGTTGGTTGAAATAATTGCTTGAACTGCAAACGCAGTGTCCCATAGTTGACTTCCATTGTAACCCTGCAACAAATTCATTACGCCTAACAAATGGTCATTAAGATCTTGCAATGCAGTTCAAAAGGTTAAAACGCAACACATAGTCACAATTATAGCGCATATATTCTCACAGAAGTAATTAATAAGGCAGCAATTATAGCTTTCATCAGTTATTAACAGTGAAAGATTAGCACTAGCACATATAGCTTTTTAGTAATACTGTTTCATCGGTTACAAATCCCTTAATAGCTCAAATCTGGTAAAGTTTTTCTCTTCTGATGAATCGTCAAGGAAATTATCAAATAAATAAAGGATGGCACAGTATACTTGCCTGCATTTTCATGCCATCTTCAGCAAGCCATAGATAATCATAAATCCTTGGAAGATGCAATTTGAAAGCCTCTGAATTGGGGTCTTCCACCCAACAGCAAAGCATGTTTAAGACCTATTATCACCAAAATAGATAGCAGAATGGAAAAATAAATAACTAGATAAGGAAGTAACTAGAAATTAGATAAGCATTGCGTAAGTGCACTCAGTAAAGACAAATCACACTGCATACATTACAATAAATATAAGAGTTAAAGAAAAATAAAAGAATACAAACTGCACAATAATCTGAAAGGCCAGGACGCATTGGAGAAAATAAAAAGCTGTGTAAGAACTAAACCAAATGAAGTTTAAAACCTACATAACTATTTATGATCCATAAGAATTGCTGTCATTTTTTTATTTCATTTTATGAGTTTATTTTTCTATGCACACCTTGTTTACAGGCCCAATGCAGATGTAACGAGTATTCTCATCTTCATAGTGTATGTGTTCTATTGCAGCTTGGAGAGCCTTTTCTCTCAACTTCTTTCCAGGCCAATGCATTAGGATAGGTTCAACAACCTTGTCTAGTGATGCCCAAAGAATATCCTGCACCATTGGGTGAGGGTAGTACAAATCTTCCTGCAAAAGAAAGCAATATATTCTTAATATTAAAGCCAAATTTAGTAGTGCATCAAGAGTGAAATGTTCAACAATCTAAAGGGAAAACTATTGAAAAAATCTATGGTCTTTATGGTACTTGTTAAAGTGTCATCCCCCATCAGCTAAGTTCAAAATTTGTGGCCTTATATTTTGGTTAGGTCACCCACCTAGTGCCAATTGGGTCTAGATTGAGCATTTAACATAGCCTCAAAGCTCAAGCTAGGTTTTGCTCCAGTTATTATTTGTTATGCTTTTGTTGTACTTGTCTATGTGCTAGGACCATTTAATTTAGGTGCTAGTACTAGCCTACACACCAAGCAGAGTGTTAAGTGCAATATTTTAATAACTGGACCAGGATTAATCTGGTGGAGGTCTAAGTCCCGTTTCAAATAGTCCAACTGATTGAAGTGGCCAATTTAATAAAAAGTCCTTTTTTTAAAAAAAAATTAGTAATAAATATATTCTAAATATGGTGAAAGGAGAAAAGACATTTGACTAAATGTGTAGAGCTTTAATTAAAAATCAAGATGATGAGGGCTTCAATTAGGCCACTTACAACACAAATTTAAAAATTTAAATCAGTAGTTTTTTTTTTAAAAAAAAGAGACTCAACCAGATCAAGATTGATTCAAAAGCCAATCAAATCGATTCGATCACGAAGTTGACTTGACCCAGGCAGCCAGATAGGCCACAGGTTCTCAATCTAACTGGCATAGTCTAGTTTTTACATCATTGGTTACCAGTGTCATCCCAAATTGATTAAGTTAGAGTTCATGATAGCCTTAGATTCAAGGTCTACCCTTCCACCTATTATCAATTTGTTTAAAATTAGATACTTAACAATTCTAATTAATCTTTGGTTTTATCAAAGCAAATTGAGAAGATAAACTCAAGCTTTGTTTGGCAAGAGAGTAATATGGGAAAATTGGAAAATGGGAGAGGGGAAAACAAGAAGAAAAAAGTTTGTTCTCATGCATAGTTGGTAGGAGATAAAAGTAAGAGGAAAAGAAATAGTGAATGTCATCTTTTATCCTACTAACATAAATCAACCTCCCAAATTGAAAAGATTAAGGAGAGAAAATTGGAGATATGTGATTTAGCTGTTGTTTTCCACCTTTTCTAAGATTTTTTTCTTTTATCTCCGTTAATAAAGGATTTAGCTACAAAATAATGAGATTTTCAATGTTCTTTCCTCTCACTTTCCAATAACCAACAAGCAATAGGAGATAAGAATATTTTTCTTTCCATCTTTCCCATCAAACCCAATAGTGGAAAGGGGAAAAAAATAGTTTTCATTCCTTTCACTTTTCACTTTTCTCCTTTCTCAACTCTCCATCCTTCCACTTTTCCATTCCTATTATTAAGCAAAGCGAAGTTCCAAATTAGGTCACCTCTGATGCTAAAACTATTCACTTGAATCTAAGATGCTAGTTATGATTTTTTTTTCAGTACTATTTTTGTACGAAATTGATTGCAGTACCATGGTATCACAATGAAAGTTTTCTTTCCCACATTAATAGCCAAGTCATATATGAAATTCCTCAAATCATTTTATTGGAGCCCATGAGCTATCTACTAGCAGGTATATTAGTTAATATGCTCTGCAGCTTGGGTAGATTCAAACAAGCTAACACCATTCTATGACAATCTCAGGCACCAAGAACCTAAAACCTTCTTTATCCATCTTAGAAACACTGACTCAAGTGATTTTAAAAATTAAAATAATATGGACTTATAAAAAAGGATAAATGTTACGAGAAATGGCAAAATGGGAAATGGACAAAGATTGAGTAGTGAGAGTAAGGCCATGTAAGGCGACTATCTACATGTTTGAGATAAAGCATTTATAGCACTAAAGTATCAATTTCACCAACCTTTGCACATAGATTTCGCGCTTCATTCCAATCTATTTCATGGTACGGGATAGTAAAAAGCTCCTTCCTCAAAGACAAAACTGTGGGTGTGATTGGGCCAACAAACCTCTTTCCATATAAATAAGACATCGGCAAATACACCATCCGGCAGTGACACCACATCCTTCCTGCAATCAAGGAAAAAAAAAATTATTCTTTTTGTACTTTCAGGATGGAACTGCATAAGAATACACATTCCACAAATTTCCAGATGGAAATTACCAATCATGTTCACTCCCAAAAATTTCAGCCGAAAAGTAAGCACCAAAGGTGCTTTCTTGTGTAATTAGTCTAAACATTGCATCACAAAATTCTTTCATAAGAAAGTAGGTTAAAATATAAAAGCAACAAGCTTTAGAATAAGTGCATGCCTAAGCCTACCCAGCAATATCTACCTCAAAACACATTGAAATTTAAAATAGAAGAACAAATAAAGGGGCAAGAACCTGGATGGAACGGAAGCGTATATGGAAGAAGCCATATCTCAGGGGGCAAAGGATTATTGCCAGACCATTCAAAGACTCCAAGCACCTGTTGCCACCAATAATGCAACTATAGTCAAATAGATATTGAAGTGAATAGCAAACACTGTAACCAACATGAGAAAGGTTAAGTTCTAAACTGAAAGCCACATTTTTCCCCACGATGTTATTTGAGTAGCACCACCATGACTCAAAATCCAATCTCTTCCTCTCTCCATTGCCCCCTGCCCATCATTAGCTCCTTCACCAAGCAACCTTAAAGTAACATAACTCAAGACAGTACCAAACATCGTGCTTGGGCCCTCAATGTGTAAGCCCCAGCCACCATCTTCGTTCTGCAAATGCATATATATATCACCACCATATTGTACAAACTTCAAAGCCAGTATGCAAGAATGATATAGAAGCAAACCCTAACTAGAAACTTGAAAAGCTTTATTAAATTAGCTAAAACAGCCAACATAAAAGATATTTTCATTGCCTGATGATTATAGAGATAACGGCACATCTCCTTCTTATGCTCTTCTGATAAGACTGCATTCAGTGCTCCAGTGATAGACAGAGTAATTACCTGATGCATCACATGAACAAAAAATATATATGAAGGCTAAATAATTATTTTTTAAAAAAATTATTAATTTTTTACAAGATTTCTCAGTCACCAGAGTACTCCTGATTCCCCCAAGAGAGCCCCAAAATTTGAAAAGGTCAAATGGAATACTTTCAGCCACCCATGTCACGCACAAGATTAGTCAAACTGATGTGACAGGAATAACTTCCTATAAAATATCAGCACTTACCAAGCCAGGCATAAGAAACATCGGACCTCCATAATCACCTGGCCAGTGCCCACCATGGGCCTGGAGGGATGAATGAAAATTTATAGCTCTTCGTAATGTATTAGTGACCATCCCTTCAGTAATATTTTCTGCTTCCTCAACTTTAACTTGAGGTAAAACCACTGGAACTGGGTTCTCCTTGGCAAACTGTATTACGGGAGAAAAGGAGATCAGATAATTAAATCAATAACTAAATAACTGTATTCATAATTTATAAATCACAGTTGAAATAACAATCCCAAATTACACTTCAGAATCAGGAGATCTATGAAAAGTTTCCATCTTAAAACTGAAAACAAAAGACACAAGTGATATTTAAAATGCTTGTATTACAAAGCATTTCATTTTCCTAGAAGCTCGTCGATCCTAAATAATAAGGTCAGTGACATCCCACATCAAAGGCATTAAAATTGCAGTAACAGTAACTCATGCACCATTCATCAAGAAAAGTGTTAACAAAAGCTCCCATCATCTCTATAATCTGAGGCAAAGCTGAGTACAAATTGCTCAATAAAATATATTTTTTCAGGAAGATAAAAAATATTACTAAACATCAAAGGATTGCACACAACACATTCACATGCTGACAATAATCTCTGAAACATTCCTCGAGTGTCAGAGAACTCAACTACAAGCATGTTAAATTATGCATGAATTCACTTTTCTGTAACAAGCCGTCCATGCACTTCCCTGCTCCCAGAGGCTTGGAATACTCATTGCTACTAATAGCAAATTTTAAATTCAAAACTATTTGAGATCCAATTGAGGAGACATGAAGTCAGTCCTCAAAAGCTGTTTTTGCACTACTCGTAGTTTATCAAGATTTCCCATGTCTAACAATACCAAGCAAATAAACCAAGTTATCACTCAAAAGTAAAACTTAAAAGAAGATAGGGGATTAATGAACTATTCTCAACTGATGAGTGTCAACCACACATGAAAATGATTTTGTATTTAATCTGATTAAACAACAGTTTCCAAAACACAGGAATAATCATTTATTGTTCAACTTCAGGGTTGCTCTTTAAGGTCTAATCTCTTCATCAACTCTCAAGTGGTCTTAGATACTATTTGGCCATTGCATCCGTACGGACTCAATACACTCTTGTGCACAGAATCAGATTGTGGTACTAGACAACAAATTGATTTTCACTTAAAAGGAGAAACTAATTGATTTTAACTTTAACTAGTAGCAATTAGCCCAATGGTTACTACCTCAAGCAAAGTGAAAGGGTGCCTTAAAGACAGGTTGGATTCTGAGGCCAAAAATTTTTCATGGATAAAGAGACTCATTAGAAGAATGTTGAGAAAGGATAGTGGTAGGTAGAATAATCAACTTTAGTAATTAAAAAAAAGAAGGTGCATGTGCTTTTTAATTCAATTTAATTACCCCGGTGCCAGTTATACTAGGTCAAAGGTCAAAAGTAACTAGAAAGGTAGTCTTTACTCTTCACGCTAATGACTACACCCATTAAACTTAACCAAATGTGAAGCTTGAAAGGCAAACTAATAATTGCTGTACCAAGAAAATCACCAGATTTATAAAGGAAACAAACATTAAATATTTAAATGACCATAACAAATTCATCTTTTATTGAGAATTCATCCATGGAACAGTTAATTAAACCATTTTACATATTCAATCTAATTGGTATGCGGATTATAAATTAGAGTGTCTTGAAGCCACTTTGAATGAACTATGCACCAATTTGAAGACCTCCGAGTTGATTATGGTTTTCTCATATCAAAGATATCTATTTTGCAATTTAAAATTTGTTGGCCATCATTTTTCGGTACGTGAAGATTGACACCGTTTCTTTCATATATTTAAAGTGATTGAGATCAATCCATCAAAGAACGGTTGAACAAACTATTGGTGAGCAAAATAAAAAATTAAAAGGTTAATTACACTTTCAGTACCCGAACTAATGTGAAACTGTCTACTTAGTATTTGTAGTTTGAAAATTTGTAATTAAGTATTCAAATTTTACTTCCATTAAATAGTTTGCACCTTTAACTAACACTAACAAATGGGTGACGTGATAAAAAATAACCAATAAGAATGCACGACATGTTCAAAAATGCCACATTATTTCATTTTTTATCTTTTTGGAATTGTTAAATTTTTAAAATTAAAAATCAAAAAAATCAAAAATAGAAAACAAAAATTGAGAGAGAAAAATAGGGGAGAAAGGGGAAAGATAGTAAAGGAGAGAGGAGAAAGGGGGAGGGAGAGGATCAACGAACGCCAATTAGCCAATTTGAGGCAGATCAGCGCCATCTACCTCAAGCCGGTCCTCCAATTCCTCCCTTGCCCCCTCCTTTCTCTCTTTCGTCCCTTTCTCTACTTTCCCCTCTCTACTTGATTCCCCTATGTTAGCTTTAAAATGATTATTGTCTTGATTATGACAAAATGATCCTTATTTGTTTGAGTATTATTTGAGTATTATTATTCGAATAAATCTTGACAAGTTTTTGAAATGATTTAACTTATATATATTTATTCTTACATAATTACAAGCTTGATTCTTAAAGTTATTGAATTATATCTATAAACTTGTATGATTTAGTTGTATGAGTTTATCATCCCTCTAAAATTTATCCTTGAGATATTAAAATTGCAAGTTTAGTTTACAAGTGGTGGAGTTTATATTAAAGCATTCAAAGATCATCAATCTACACTACACCAAGCTTGCTTCAAGGCAAGAAATTCATTCTATTCTCAACATTTGTTCACAAGGAAGATATAGCCAAAGTTACATGCTAACATGTCAAGGAATTTTGAAGAAACAAAACTCCAATCGATCCTAGAGCAAGGTAAGTCATGGCCGAATGAGCAAGAGCAAACGAGAAAACTTGAAGAACACAAAGCCATAGTCGACTCTGACACACCCATAGTCGACCCTAAGGCAGAGAGCTTGTGGAAATGAAGTTCTTCAAAGCCATAGTTGACCCTAGCATCCATATATTCAACTTGGAGGAATCTGATGTGCGAAAAAAAGGATTTTTCAAAGCCATACTCGACTCTAACAAAGCTATAGTCAACTCTCGAAGCTCTGATGTTAAAATATAAGTTTTTTGGAAGTGGATCGATTAAAGAACTTCTATTCTCGACTGTAGATGACCGTTAGACACAAAATTCAAAAAGGAAAACGACTAGTTTCTTGCCTTAATCACCTCCAACGGCTCCAAGACTTTTCCAATTGTAAAAAAGACCATTTGAAAGCATTTCAAAGTGAGGAAGAAGAAAGAAAAAGGGCCAAACTCTTGAAGATCATGGTCTTGAAAAGCAAAAGGAGAAAACCAAGCAAACCAAGCCTACTTGAGCTAAACCTTCCTTGTGCTTGCAATCCGATCTTTATATCCAATCTTTTTGCTCATTATTAGGCATTCTTCCCCCCATTGCAAGCCTACTTGAACTAAACCTTCCTTGCGCTTACACTTCAAGCTTGATATCCAATCTTCTTGTTCATTATTAGGCATTCTTCCTCTATTGTACCAAATTAACAAAATCAACCTCTTAGAGACACTCTTACTATTCCTTGTATAGGTTCTAACTCATTCTTAAAAAGTTAGTGTGGGTTTGTGATTGAGCTCGTTAAAAAAACCATAGATTGTACTTGTTCCCGATAAAGGGCACTTGTAAGGTTGTGGTTGATCCCGTTAAAAACCATAGGTTGTGCTTGCTCCCATTGAAAGGCATTTGTAAGGTTTGTAGTTGCTTCCAGGAAAAACCATTGTAAGGGTTTAATGCTTGATCCCGTTAAAAAGCATGTTTCCTTGAGTGGATTTAAAACTCCTTAGTTTGCTAAAAGAGAAGACGTAGGCATTTAAAAAAGCCGAACCTCTATAAATTTCTTGTATCTATAATTTTTATTTTTGTCTTGAATTCCCGCACTTGATTTCAAAAAAACCCACTCCATAAATTGCTGATGACTTAATTTATACTCTTCACATTTTGGTTTGCTTCTTCGTTGAAAACCTTTTTGCTATCATTACTTATTCACTTCTAGTTGAAAAGATTTCTTAAAACATATTTCTTAAGATTATTCTTGTTACATTTGAAAATATTTTAAGCTTTCAAAAGTGATCATTTTGCTATGTTTAATTGAGTAGACTTGACTAAAATTTGCATATTCATCATAGTCTTCTTTGAAATTCTTCTTATGAGCTTTCAAAACAAGTTTCTGATCTAAGATCGACTATCAAGCGTTCATAGTCGACTACACATTTGTTTAAATAGTTTTTGAAAAGGTTACTAAGGAGAAACACAACCATAGTCAACTAGAGCTTCTCCATAGTCAACTATAGCTATTTACATAGTCAACTAAAGCTTCTCCATAGTCAACTATAGCTATTTACTTCAAGAACTCCAAAAGTTTTAAAATCCAATTTACCACCCCCCTCCCCCGGATGTTCATGTTACTTGATTCATTGAGCTAGCATTCCTAGCACTCTCTCTCTTTGTTTTTTTTTTATTTTAATTTTTTCAGTTTTTTCCTAGCTTTTTATTTTTTATGAAATTTTGTGTTTTTTATGGTTTTTGTGTTCCATTTTTATTTTTAATTTTTTTCAGTTTTTTTCAAGCTTTTTAATTTTTTTGAAATTTTGTGTTTTTTATGTTTTTCATGTTCCATTTTTATTTTTAATTTTTAAAAAATTAAATTTACTTTTTTAATTTTTAATTTTTAATCTTTTTTTCTTTTTTAATTTTCCAAAATTTGTTATTTTCTTTTCAAAAATAAAATTTTAATAAAAAAGATTTTTTTATTTTTTGATTTTTTCTTTTTCCATTTTCCAACAGTTTTTTATTTTTAAATTGAAAAATAAGAATTTTTACAAAAAAAGGTTAAATGATGTGGCATCTTTAGACACAGGTGCATGCCTATTATTAGTTTTCGCCATCTCATCTGCTTGTTTTACACCAATAGTCAAAGGCACAAACTGGTTAACGAAAATAAAGTTTGAGTACTTAATTGTAAATTTTTAAACTTCAGCACCAAATTGATAACTTCACTACAGTGTGGGTACTAAATGTGTAATAAACCTAAATTAAACCTTTTTATTTTATGATTGATAGGACATAACAAAAATCAATAAATTTAGAAACCAAGTACAGGAAATTTTAATTAGTAAAAAAATGTAAAAGCCATTACTTTATGTTAATATGTTTAGGTAGGGTGAATATCTAAGCCATTTGCTAGAACGATGTGAAAAATACTGCTGAAAAGTGTAACTATTACCCAAAAAGGACATAACACATATTACTTTCAAGTGAAAAATGGTGTTATTGGTAGTGACACATGAATTTTACCCAATTAAAAAGTAAATAACTAATTAAAAGAATAGGAAAAGATTACAAGAAGCAAGAAAAAGATGTCATTGTGAAATGAAAAAAGAAAAGAGAAACCTCTTTCCTAATAACAAGAAGAATTTCTTCAATGCTTATGAATGTTGCAAGCCATAGAAAAGAATATCACAAAGAAACAATGCCCTTACTAGTTAGGCAGCATTTCAAGCTGAAATTGCAATATCAATGAGAGCAAAGGAAAAGGAGGGGAATAGAAATGAATGAAGAGAAAATTTCATCACAAAACATGGAAAATGAAGAAATCCTTCATATTTAATTTTATTGCACCGGTTTTTCCTGAAAATGGAGTAAATTGATGGCCCTGAAGGAAGTATATGGCCTTGTTTTGTCAATGTTTTATTCTACCTATCCAAATAAGACTTCAGCTATTAGAACTAGTGGTGAACTGGTCACGTATTGAAAATTATGGAGCAGGGTGCAACAGCCTCCATAGGTATTTCGAAAGTATGCCCAAGAGGAAATTTTCACACACCCAAAGATGAGAAGCTTAGTTGGGAGCTTGCATAGTCTATATTAGTTACTTTTAAGTCTTCAATTTATGTTTCTTTAAAGGAAAGTTGTAGGGTTGTATTTTATTTTTTCTATTTTCTTAGGTTTTATGTGCTGAGGGTATCTTTGTAATTTTTTTGTTTTCTGGAAATTGCATTAGGATATTAGTTTGGGTTTTCCTTACTCTAGCAGAATTTGTTTGGAGTTAATTTGGTTAGGTTTCTAGTTAAAGTTTGGAGTAGTTTTAATGAGATTAGGAATGCTAGGAGTCTATATGGATACGAATGTACTCCTTCTGTGGGAGATATAAAATTATTATGAAAGAAGTCCCAGCACTATTGCTTTTGTTGTTGTGTGATGCAATCAATCTTAAGTGCAATTCCTAAGGAACCAAAGTTTTGACGCCTAACGATTTCTTTTTTTCTTGTCTTTTTCTCAGTTCAATTTTCTCTAATTTCTATCAAGAATATGAATCAAAAGATTGCCATACCCTAGTCCTCCATATCCCACATCGGAAAATCGAGAGGCTAATCTAATTGTCTTCTTTAAAAGAGAGGGGAAAAAAGTTGCCCCCAATAGCTGCCCTACAAGACTAGCATGCCATGCTTTCTACCGTTGACTTCGATGTAATAGATGCTTAAATACCCATCTACTCAAGTGGCATCAATTGAGTAGTGTGACATGGATTTGGTTGACTAGCTGAAAATGCCTTAACCACTAATCCTTGTCTTTTCTACATGCGTTTGGCTTCCAAAAAAAAACAAGCAACCAATTCTTTTTGAAAAAATCATGAACAAAACTTATACTAATATATTTAATTATTTGCTATGGTCTAACCCATTGCAAGCATTCTGTTTTCAAGATCAAGAAACAAGAAATGCATATGGCAAAAACTAAAACCTATTTTGACAAGTCGCAGTAGCTTTAATGGCGTTTGCCTAACACATTAATATCCTTTTGGAATTAACGACACGACACGGGGTGATGGAAATGAAAGAAAAAAGAACAAAGGGATAGGGAGAGGGGAAGGGAACCTGCAGGCGCATGAGTAGATCTGAGCTGTGCTTCTTCCGGAATCGATTGTCAGTGAAATTGCTGCGAGCCTCGTCAATCTCCATTATCTCTTCGGGAGATCCGAGGTCGGGATCGAACTCCCAAATCTGTCTGCCGACGTGATTGTTCACTGTCCTCAGCCATGGACTGCCTCCCTCCGCGATTTTCAGCCTCCACATTTTAATCGAATGCCTCTAATTTGAATTTCCTTCGCTACCCAAAATGCTTGCGAAATGAGGAAGAGAAAAGGTAAAGTTTTGCGTCGAATGATAGAGGAAGAAAGAAGAAGTGCATGCAATTTGCAAGGGAAAGCAACACAAGTAGCATGTGAGGAGCAGATTTAGGTTTCATACTATTCTAATAAGAAACCATAAAAATCCAAAAATTAAACTAAGAAATTGTGAGACAGAGAGAGAGATGTCGGCTCGTTGCGTAGGCTCATCACAACCGCATTAGCGCGAGTCTCTTTCAAGCTTTCCACTTTTGACAAATTACACTGAATTAATTTTACAAACCTAATTTTGATTGTTGATACGGTTGCACATGTTCATCAAGGGCGGACTGGGTGCTCCTACGCCATTGGATTCTATGAATATTTGTCGCCTTTTGGAATATTTTACAAACCATTGCTCCTACCCGAGCAACTTGTCCTGGGTCGGATCCTGGCCTGCTTATGGCTTGCCCTCTGTTCTGTACCAGTAACATTTTCGCTGTTAAGGATAGTCATTTTTAATTAGTTAACATATGATATTTTTATTTAAAGAATAAAATTTAAATTTTTTTTCAATTATAAAAAAAATAATCGTTTTAATATCTTATGCATCTTTGTCTCGAGCACTCTAAACATCCAATAAAAAATAAGTAAAATATAAAAATAAAAAAAAAATTTCTACAAATCTTTTTTAATTGCCATTTATCTTACTAATTTGTAGAAATTAGTATCAATGAACTATATTATGGTTAAAGTAGAGCAAACGATTATTTTGATTAATTTGGTTATGATTTTAGATATTTAAAAATAATCGAAATTGAATCAAATTTTACAAATAATTAAATTAACCATAATCGAATTAATTCGATTAATTCGGTTCAATTTTCGAAAGCAAAACTTGAGAATATTATTTTTTTTATTTGTATATATTTATCTATGTTGCATTGTTTTATAAATCAATACTATAAAGTTATTAAAAATGATGATAAACAATTAGAATAAATAAGATATATACCCATACAAATAATAAATAATTAAAAAATATAAATAAAAACAACAACAAATAGTTTATGATTTATTTTTCATACGAAAATCCTATTACACCCTTATTCAAGTTCGATTAGTAATTTTTTAACCAAAATCGAACCAAATTAGCTTTAGTACCTAAACTACCCTAATCGAATTACTTGAAAAACTAAACTAACCGGATCGAAAAAAATCGAATTCACTTCTGTTCAGTTGAATTTTTTGATTTGGTTTGCATTTGCTCACTCCCTAATTATTATGATACTTGAAAAAATCTTTAAATTATTTTAAAAAATTCAATAAATGAGATACATGCTCATACAAACAACAAATAATTACAAAATCTAGATAAAAACAATAACAAATAGTTGATGATTTATTTCTCATACTCCATTATACCTTTTGTACACATAAATTTCCAGTCGAAATTTCTTAACTTGAAAATTATGAGACAAAGACAAATATTTGATGATGTGAGTGATAATCTCTGAAAATTTCTTTAATTAATTTTTTCACTTCTTTTTCAAGAGTCATGAACTTTGACTTAGTCTTGATCACGAACTTGCTTGATCTTCATTTTAAGGGTTTTTACGACTTAATTTTGATCATGAACACTTGATCTTTGCGTCAAGAGTTTTTACGACTTGATCTTAATCACGAACACTTGATATCTTCGCTTCAAGGGTCTTCACGACTTAATCTCAATTATGAACACTTTATCTTGATCACAAACTTTGTTATCGCTTAATCACGAACTTCGTTGCCGCTTGATCTTCACTTTAGAAATCTTCTACTCTTTTTTATCTTTGAAATGCTCTCAATCTTTGAATGCCTCCCAATCTTTAAATGTTTCCGAATGAATGAAAATGGCTTGGAGAAGCCCCTATTTATAATGCAAGATGGGAGACTTTGATGAGAATGTAATCTCTTTGAATTATCTCTAAATTATTTTAATTTATTTAGAGATAAATTATGATGACTCATTAAAAGTCTTTTGATTGGCTGGACTTTGAGTCCTTCAATTTTGATTGGCTGAAGTTAGGTGTTCTCTCTAAATTATCTTAATTTATTTTGAGATAAATTAATCTTTAAATTAATATAATTATTAGAAATAAATTAAATGAACAATAATTAAATTTTGATTAGCCAAAAATATAAATATTATCTCTAAATTATCTTGATTTATTTAGAGATAAATTGGATGACCAATAACTAAATTTTGATTGGTCAAAAATATGAATATTATCTCTAAATTATCTTGATTTATTTAGAGACAAATTGGATGATCAATAGCTAAATTTTGATTGGTCACAAATATGAATATTATCTTTAAATTACCTTAATTTATTTAGAGACAAATTGGATGACCAATAGCTAATTTTTAGTTGGTCCAATTTAAATATTATCTTCAAATTATCTCAAAGGATAAATATATACCAATAGGTGAATTAGTTTAACGATATGTCTCTAAAATAATTCAACCAATAAATTAACTATTTTATAATTAATTACATGATTATGACATCATTAAATCCACGTCACGGCATGTAATTGGCTCATAATTTTTCTCCTTCTACAAATGCCCCCTCAAGACTTATTCACACATGATTTTGAATGTGGCAAGTGTACAAGTCTTAAAATTTAAAAAAAAATTCTAGGATTTCTTAGAATCTTAATGTGCCTTGGTATACTTGCAATCCAAATTAAATTTGAATTATGCTTACTCATAAGTAAGGGAATTATGATTTTGGAAAATGTATATTGCAATAAAACTATCTGAAGAAGTATGTTGCAATAATACTATAATTTTGAAAGAAGTATATTGCAATTGGTATTGCACTCCTTAATCAACTAGAACTCTTTCTTTTCACTCTATAAAAAGAGAGTTTTCTTGTCAATTTTCTACACGTCAAAATATTAGAGATTGCTTCTACTTGCGCATCGACGAATTAAAGATCTCAACGCCAAGTAAAAAATTCCTACTTCTAGGAGGGAAAAGCATTTTCATTTCTTTCTAATTCATATGGTAAATCGATTGCAAAATTTTTTTTCTTGGCTTTTTAATTCTTGCCACGCTAAATTATGTTAGCTATGATTTATCTGCCACATTTCCATGCTTGAAATCATGCAAGCCACCTTGCAAGCTCATAATTGAATCAAGAAAACCATGGATATCACCATGCTTTAACATGCCACGTTAAGTCATCATATTGCCACCTTACATTACAAGCTTTAAATTAAGTCAACTTCTATTATTTCTTGCCACGTTACAATTGCCATGCAAATTCCCATTGTATCTTGCAATCTTGAAAGCTTATAATCAAGCTAAGAAAAGTATGCATATCACCATGCTTTTTAAGATGCCATACCTAGTCAACTTATATCACAATCACAAATTGTTGTGCTAAAGATCCACATTGCCATGATGGTTTTTTTTTATTGCTACAAATTTTTTTTTTGTAAATTGTTATTTTAGACTAATAATTTAATATTCTTTTGACAATTAATCTCAAAGTTATCAGCTTATAATCAAAGTAAGTTTAAATTGAAGTAAGAGAAATTGGAAGCAACTTAAAGTGGTGCTCTTTATAATAGCACGCAATTTGTTATCCTTGAAGAGTACCTTTTATAATAGCACTTATAGATCCTTAGAGGATGCTCTTTAAAATAGCATATAATTTATTATTCTTAAAAGGTGCTTTTTATAATAGCATTTGTTGATCCTCACTTGTTGGTCCTTGGGAGGTGTTCTTTATACTAGCACACAATTTATTATCCTTATAGAGTGCTCTTTATAATATCACTTGTTGATTCTTGGGAGTTGCTCTTTATAATAACACACAATTTAGAATCACCATAGTATACTTCAAGGACTACAAAAATCAACTTGTCATTCTTTCAGAAAAAGATGAAGATATGAAAAAAGGATTGTTTCTTCTCATGGCGAGACCTATAGTAGTTCATTTTTTAGCATCTCAACCATTTAATGCTCCTACAACTTTGGAGGAATGGACTTCTAAGCTAATCAAGATCTCACAATCTTCTTCAATAACTCAATGTCTCCAATCTTATCTTTATGACAAAACTTTGAATCAAGAGGAATTTATCACATTGGTAAGCCGTATAATTTCTAGTGAGGTTTATTACGGCAGTTCTTTCATGATCAATGGAGAATTTAAGTATATCCTCAAATATTGGGAGTGGACTGAAAAGATGTTTTTTCGATAAGAGAAGCTTTTACGTGATTGTAAATGGGGTTCTTGTGATGAGAAGAGGAAGCGTTGTAAACAAGTAAGGGATGCATCGGAGGTGACGGAGAGGAAGATTGGAGCAGTTTCTGAAGTACTAAATGTCGTGGCAGGTGGAAGAGAATAAAAAAAGAATAAAAAAATAATAAGTGTTTTCAGTGAGAATAGGCTAAGAAGAAAAGCTATGAGTTAGAGTCCAGTAGTTCTGAAAAAGTCCCCTTTTTGAGTTGTGAAGGTTCTATATATATAGTGTCAAAAATAACAATTATAAAAAGAGGTTTTAATACATGTAATGAATGATATCATTAAGAAGAGTTTTAATGTTAGATAACCGTTACTGAGAGTTAATATTAAATAAGGTTAAAAACTTATTATGTGATCATTGAAATAATTATATTTAATAAGACTTGTTGTTAAGTAGGAGCTAATAAAGAAAAGTTGTACGTGAACAGGTACAAGAAAGGAAGCTGTACATGAACAGGTACAAGAGAAAAGGTTGTATATGAACAAGTATAAGAGAACAAGGAAAAAGCAAAAAATACTTGTACTTCAGGAAAAAGTTAAGAGAGACCTCTTAACTACCTCCATATCTGAGCCACCAAGCCAAACTCTCCAGAACATCCCAATATGAAAGTAACCCACGAACCCTACCACCTATTTCAGATTACTTTCACTGTCATTTGTGTGAAATTGT